CCACCGAAGCACACAAGCAGCGTCTGGCTCTTATACGAAAAACATTGAAAAAATAAAAGTTTGCGAACAAAATTTATTTTTATATGTGCCGTTTAAAATGAAAAGTCTGATCCCAGAGTGCTGATAATTGCACATCGTAGTGACATTTAAGAGTGAATTGTAGAAGAATATCAAAAAGTATGTGCAAGACCATTCACTTTTCACTTTGGGTTGAACTCGAGTCATCTGTGAAAACATGTAAAGGCTCAAATATAGCCATCAGGCCTTGCCTTTATCTAAATGGCTAGAGAGCAAAAAAATAGCTCTAACTTATAACAGGTTATGGAAGGGATTTCAATGAATTTAGGTCCTGGAATAATTTGTGCTTGAAACAATGTTTTTTTTGTTTTTTTTGACGCAATTTTTAGTCCCTGTTTCAGATGCAGCCTGAAAGGCGGACTATTAATTCTTATTTCAATTTTCCATCTGTGACGTCTCTAACATTTTCACAGAAATTCTGCAGCAGATATCGATGAAACTTGGCAGGTTGATGAACAAGTACCAATTATGCACATAATTTTTTTTTCCAGATCTGAACATTCTAAGTTGGTCTATTTCATGATTTTCATCCAAAACTACCTCTCCCAACTGCACTGAGAGAACAATTGAGCATGTTCAGAATAAATAATTAGCTTAGATTGTAATGCTTGGGTTTTTAGTGATGTCATGCCCTGGTCATGACCTTGATCTGAATCAGTGACAGATGGGTTGTACCATTACCAATTTCAGTAGAAAATGTAGAGGGGTGTCAGGGCTACATTTTGAAGGGAATTATAGTGGTGATACTGAAACAAACACAGGTCCTGGTAATATACAAAGACCCGAATTAACAAAGAAGTCAAGTTGTTATTAAAGGTACATCAAGGTTTACTCAGATTTATGAATGTATGAGACATACCTAGTTTGGTTGCATTCCGATTTTGGACCTGGGCCAATGAAAGTTTTCAGTTACCAGATTAAGGGAAATCACTTGATGAGTTGTACCCACACAGAGTACATACTAATTCAATTGTTTGCAGATGTTCCATGTATTATTTTAACATGAGTATTTTATAATTAAATAACTGGGACTGTGACATTCATGTCTTGTTTTGTTTTTAACTTTCCTTACTGAAATATTGCCCAAGTGAATCCCTCACCTTAAAAGGAAAGGTCAGAGCCATCTATAATTGTATACATTCATGCCATTTTCAATGTGTTTAAATGAAGACAACTGAGCCAAAGAGTTTCTTACATAGTGTCAGATCTATGCATAACAGCATCTACCGAATGTTTATTGAATCAGTGGGGGGAAAATAGTTTGCACCCTGACACATTTCCTGCAAATACCGTTATATATATATACTGTTCCAGTCATCTGTTAAGTGTAGGAAACAAAACAAGAACAACTGCCATGGTGTTAGCGACTTATACACTGGCTGCTTTAATTTAATTTAATTAAATACTAGGCAAGGTCATCATAATTTCCCCATCAACAATCGTTCTCTAATTTCCATGGACCACACCTTCACTGACTAGAATAACCCCACCCTCTCAAGAACAAACTGAAACTTTCAAGTTTACAGCGAGGAATTCTGGCCAGTAACGCCATGGCTTCTCTCTCATTAGAGCAAGAAATTATTAGCTGCAATGTGATTGCTGATTGGCTACTCATGCTGTCAATCACTTGGCCAGTGTATAATTTCATTCATGTATCTAGACTTGAACTTAGAAATGAACGACTTTTTATATACATATTTTATAAAACTAAAAACTGATTATTACATGATTCATATGGCTAAATATTTATCAGAAAATACAGCCAAAAATTTGCATGCAATTTATTCTGATTTCACATTGACTGACTGTATTGTTGTCAACTGCATTATAAATAGTAATACATTGTGGTGCTTATATAGCCAAAATTAAAATACGATTTATCATTATTCATTAGATTTTCCTCACTATGGCAACAACACAGACCCATCTGTCTGATGATTTTAATCGATAAACACTTTTTTATTCATTTTTTGCCTACTTGTATTAGGTATAATAAGATGACAGCTCAAGGTGCCCTCAAAAATATTTTACAAGATTCGTTTAAGGTCATTCTTGGACAGTCAACTTATTAAATTATGTTTATTTGTTGTAAAAGTGTTGCACAAGTTAGGCTGTTTTGGAACTATTCCCACAGGAATTTGTGTTGACTTTTTCACTACCAGACTTCTTACACTATTATCGGAATTTCCCAATAATTTGAGACAACCATAATGACCCATCATTGTACAACTACAAATTTTTTCAATACATGTACCCAAATCAAATTTTGAGATGCAACCTTTCACTAATTGCTCAAAAATAAAAAAATCATCCTTTTACATAGCCGTTCGAGTTTGTGTGAAAAGTAGTTTGGTGACTAAATATTTCCTGTATTTCATGAGAAAACTGCATATAATAAAACCATATGATGAAAATAAAAGAAATTCAAAGTTTTAATAGCTAACTATCTCAAGCAATAGTTTGGATTCATACAGTGACAAGATACTCTTCCCCTGCATGTAAAAACAAAGGAAAATTGAAATATCATCTATATACCAGATAGAAATTTGGCAATAATCAGAACCAATAATTCTGCGATGAGTCTGAAAACAAGAATATGGTCTTTCATCAGCATCTATGCACAATTACTCCCAATTGCGCACACACTTTTCTTAAGCTAGTCATGGAGCAGCAGTTTTGATTTTAACCCCAATGGGACAAAGTCACATGGATTTTGTTGTGTTCAATGTTATTTCATCTTGCCTTTTCCTCAAAATTATAGACACCTCCCCAAAAAACATTCACAATCATTAAATGATGGGATACATGCACCAACTGGCAGTCATATTTATAACCTACATTTATCCTTTTCATCACAAAATGGTCTGTCCTTCATGAGACTGGAACAAAATAAGCCAAATTGTTTTGAGCAAAACTAGTCTCCAAAATATGGATTCATTTCTAGAAATATTGATGGAGAAAAATGTGGGCATGAGTATTGTGGTGAAAAGGTTACAAGTTGTGCAAATATTTAATACTGCCAGATTTGGCAAAATTCATGTTTTCCAATTTCGTGTTTGTTCAATTTAAGGTGGTGAACTGGCAGCCATTTTGTTAACATTTGCAAACATTTATCTTAGTTTATCTAGCAGTTTAGACAACTTGAATCTGTCTATTCATTTGTCTAACTGAAAGGGGGCACCAAATATCCCACCATTTGGGTACTTGTGCCCCTTGGGGAAAGTTAAAAGAAAAAACCTGGGACCAATCTACACAAGAATAAAGAACAATATCAAGTTTTGGGAAAAAAAGTAAACATTTAATTCTTGATTTGTGGAATGTTGAATAGTAGTACACAATTGGAAAATATATAATTTCAATACCACAACCTATTCTACTCAATCATACATTTCATTATCAGACTGGAGAATCTCAGCCTCTGGTTGTTCCTACAGCTTTTGTGTGCACAATTGGACAAATATAAATAGTTTAATTTCAGGATTTGAGGTAATTTCAAAAATATACAATACTATTTTGAGAAATAAAGAGGATAGAGCAAAAGTAGATACATTATTTTTCACGACAATAAAGATGTTGGCAGCATTTTAGTAAATTGCACATTTGGCTTATTTTTGGCAGTGTCATGATTGCGATGCATTTGTAAGTGT